CTTAATACTCATCTTATTAGACCACAGAAATATCTAGAAAATATGTTTTAAAACTAGCTTCCTGGGTGTCACTTAATACTCATCTTATTAGACCACAGAAATATCTAGAAAATATGTTTTAAAACTAGCTTCCTGGGTGTCACTTAATACTCATCTTATTAGACCACAGAAATATCTAGATAATATGTTTTAAAACTAGCTTCCTGGATGTCACTTAATAATCATGTTATTAGACCACAGAAATATCTAGAAAATATGTTTTAAAACTAGCTTCCTGGATGTCACTTAATAATCATGTTATTAGACCACAGGAACATAAATAACTAACATAAACAATAAAAATCAAAACAATTCTTTGACTACAGCTTTTGTCTAATTATTCTTCCCACTCATTGGGGGACTTAATGGTGATGGAGAGAAGCTCATTAGTATGGATTGAGGGGGAGGCTCTTAACAGAATGTTAAAAGTGCTTAAGTGTAAGTAGAAGTCATTTTGTAAAAGGCTCAGACACTTTTCTACCGTATAAATGTATACATTTTATGTCCTCCCTGCACCTATTTAACTACATCAATGTCAGTCCATGGACCAGAATTGAGCAATGTACATTTAGCTGAATGTGGAGTGTCTGAGACATTCACTTCGTAAAGAACACAATGAAAGTTGACATGTAAAGATCATTACATGAAAATGCAGCATGATCTTATTACCTCAAAGTGTAATGTATCTGTAGCATGATCTCCTACTACAAAGTATGATGTAACTGTAGCATGATCTTACTATTTCAAAGTGTGATGTAACTGCAGCATGATCTTACTACTTCAAAGTGTGATGTATCTGTAGCATGATCTTACTACTTCAAAGTGTAATGTAACTGTAGCATGATCTCCTACTACAAAGTGTGATGTATCTGTAGCATGATCTTACTACTTCAAAGTGTAATGTAACTGTAGCATGATCTCCTACTACAAAGTGTGATGTATCTGTAGCATGATCTTACTACTTCAAAGTGTGATGTAACTGTAACATGATCTTACTACTTCAAAGTGTGATGTAACTGCAGCATGATCTCCTACTACAAAGTGTGATGTATCTGTAGCATGATCTTACTACTTCAAAGTGTGATGTAACTGTAGCATGATCTCCTACTACAAAGTATGATGTAACCGTAGCATGATCTTACTACTTCAAAGTGTGATGTAACTGCAGCATGATCTTACTACTTCAAAGTGTGATGTAACTGTAACATGATCTCCTACTTCAAAGTGTGATGTAAATGCAGTATGAACTTACTACTTCAAAGTGTGATGTAACTGTAGCATGATCTCCTGCTACAAAGTGTGATGTAACTGTAGCATGATCTCCTGCTACAAAGTGTGATGTAACTGCAGCATGATCTTACTACTTCAAAGTGTGATGTAACTGTAACATGATCTCCTACTTCAAAGTGTGATGTAACTGTAGCATGATCTCCTACTTCAAAGTGTGATGTAACTGTAACATGATCTTACTACTTCAAAGTGTAATGTAACTGTAGCATGATCTACTACTTCAAAGTGTGATGTAACTGTAGCATGATCTCCTACTTCAAAGTGTGATGTAACTGCAGCATGATCTTACTACTTCAAAGTGTGATGTAACTGCAGCATGATCTTACTACTTCGAAGTGTGATGTAACTGTAGCATGATCTTACTACTTCAAAGTGTGATGTAACTGCAGCATGATCTTACTACTTCAAAGTGTGATGTAACAGTAGCATGATCTACTACTTCAAAGTGTGATGTAACTGTAACATGATCTTACTACTTCAAAGAGTGATGTAACTGCAGCATGATCTTACTACTTCAAAGTGTGATGTAACTGCAACATGATCTTACTACTTCAAAGTGTGATGTAACTGCAGCATGATCTTACTACTTCAAAGTGTGATGTAACTGTAACATGAACTTACTACTTCAAAGTGTGATGTAACTGTAGCATGATCTACTACTTCAAAGTGTGATGTAACTGTAACATGATCTTACTACTTCAAAGAGTGATGTAAATGCAGTATGAACTTACTACTTCAAAGTGTGATGTAACTGTAGCATGATCTTACTACTTCAAAGTGTGATGTAACTGCAGCATGATCTTACTACTTCAAAATGTGATGCTCTTATAGCATGATCTCCTACTTCAAAATGTGATGCTCTTGTAGCATGATCTCACGATTTGAAAATGTGATGTGCATGGTAAAGTCAGTTCAATACACGTGTTTGAACATTACAGTTAGAACAATGTCCTATCTCACATTTTACTAACAGAATAATATTCTGGCGTGTTCCAGCTCAATTCCACCACTATTTCTACTGAAACAACAAAAAAAACCCTCCCTCTACATACACACCGACTTAATGAAAAGCAGCTATTCAACAGCACCAACTCTTGTCTGACCCAATAGTGAGATTTTAACATACTCTTACAACACACCTGCAATCCTAAAGTACAGAGCTCACTTTTGCACCAAAGAGTTGAGAACTATGAATACTCTAATTCACAGACCAAGCAAGCGAACCATCACATACACTTGCTCCAAATAAATACTTACTTATTGTTTTACCTATAGAACAAAAATTACAACACTTTGATGAATGTTTACACCTAACAGTATTTAGTATTTTTATACTTCAAAGAGGAGCATAAAATACAAGTTATGTTTCAGAGTTTGGGCTGATTAACTACCATGGTTATAACTCTACAAAGACAAATACTTTTTTTGGTTCCAAATTTTGAATATTTTCATAGAGTATATACAATATTTCAAAGTTTAAACTGATTAACTACCATGGTTATAACTCTACAAAGACAAATACTTTCTTTGGTTCCAAATTTTGAATATTTTCATAGAGTATATACAACATTTCAAAGTTTGGGCTGATTAACTACCATGGTTATAACTCTACAAAGACAAATACTTTCTTTGGTTCCAAATTTTGAATATTTTCATAGAGTATATACAACATTTCAAAGTTTAAACTAGATTAACTACCATGGTTATAACTCTACAAAGACAAATACTTTCTTTGGTTTCTAATTTTGAGTTATATTCATAAAGAAAAATGACTAACCTGCAGAAAGTAAAAATTGAAACAATGATAAAAAAATGTGTATTTATTTACTGTTTCATCAGATTCACTTCCTCATCTCCATGTTATTAACTTATAAATTATAAAATTAAAGAATATTTTAAGAAGTCATGTTACAATTGAGGGATAAAAAAAAAACTTACTGTGGCACACGCACAATAAATTCTTGCACAACTTGTGGTGAAGAGTTTGCCTGTGAAACAAATAATTACAAAAATAATTCAAACAACTGCTACATGAAGAAATATAAAAGTGTAGATTTGAAATCAAGAGCAGGGATGGTTTGAGGAAGGTGTGGAACCCTGCACATATTTGAGAATGCAGGATTGAAAACAGCAAAACTAATGAGCAATTCTGAGGTCATGAATAACCTCTTAACCTCCCTGCCCATACAGGAACATGATTACTTTTAAACTTAAAAAAAAAGCATCAAAATGAAATACCTCATAACATGTAATGATTCAAAATGTTATTCAATATATATATATATCTATAAAGTGCAAACAAAAGCCTGGTGAAAATCATGATAAATCAACAACAACAAACACAGATTACATGATTTCCAAGTGTTTTGTTTTTTCAGAGTCAGTATAAGACTTATAACAGCAGTTGTATATTATTACTTGCTGTATGGTATATAAATAATCTTTGTAACCTAGTGATTAAATAATTTTTACCTTACCAGGTTCATAGAAGTTTGAGAACTATGGCTTCTCTGTCAATGGACAAATACTGCTACTGCTTTGAGCTTGGCTAAATTATTTATACAATAGCAAGGTAGCTATAATCAGAAGTATTGAACAGAGCCAAACATGAAGAAATAAAATCTTAATTATAAAATCTCTTGTTTCATTGTGGGACCTCTACAAGCATGGAGCTATGTGTGGCTGCCCCTATAGCACCTGCTTTAGGCTGCCCTTGACCAAGAGACAAAAAACCTATTGTAGTGATAATATAACGTTAACTATTGTATCTTGGAACTTCTATGATTCAGCACGAAAAAATAATGTAGCAGCTGGTAAATACATTATCAATACACAGCTTGGACACAATCTATGTAACGTAAACACATAAAACATCCAGAATACCACACACAGAGTTTCAATAAATTGAAAAGGTATAATTCAACACAGTGACTAGATACCCAGCAGCTGGCTTGGAATTTCCTTTCAAATATTAAAAATTAGCAGTCCGAATTTTTGAATATTGAGGAACAACAATAATTTTAACTTAACTTTACAGTTTATTTCTATTTACAACTTCGATTTTCTAATCTACACAGAGTTTCAATAAATTGAAAAGGTATAATTCAACACAGTGACTAGATACCCAGCAGCTGGCTTGGAATTTCCTTTCAAATATTAAAAATTAGCAGTCTAAATTTTTGAATATTGAGGAACAACAATAATTTTAACTTAACTTTACAGTTTATTTCTATTTACAACTTCGATTTTCTAATCTGTATTAAGTTTATATTTAAGTAGGTTGGCATAACTTAAGTTAGGTATAAAACTGATACCTCTAGTAGTTAATACTATAACTTAAGTTTTAATTTTAGTTAAGCCTACCTGTTGAGGTGTACTCGCTGTAGAAGCTGTAGACATATTTTTCTTTGATTTCGAAGTTCTGTGATGATAAAAACTTGAAACTTTAAAGAAAGTAATTTCTAGTTATAAAAGCTACTAGGATTATGCTACTCACGGTCTTCCTCAGTAATGGTAATAATAAAGATGTCACAACTACTCAACAACTTGAACAAGTGCAATACCAACTTTATCGCTACACAAGTTATATTATTATTACTATTTCACTACTTTAACTTAACATAATGAAACTGAAAGGTAATATTATCACTGACCACATTTCTTTTTTAAAGTTGATATGTAATAAAGCAAACAATGGATTAATAAAATAAAATTTTGAAATATTTGAATCCAGTTGTATGTCTCAGAAATAACGATTTACTTTCAACAGTTAAACTAATGATTTTCATCACAACACGACAGTAGTAGGCTACGTTAAATACCCATTTTAGTCACTAGGTGTCTAAGAAATAAATTATTATTAGCTGACTAACTCATGAAAAACAAAACCGGAAAACAATGATCTGCTAAATGTTTTATTTTAACTGCTTCCTCAGGAGTGCTTATCTGCTTCAAATAAGAATCTCACAAAGTTGAAAATATATTTTGGTGAAATTTAAAAATAATTTTTGAGTACTTATATATATAATGGATTAAATTGTGCGTTTGTAATGATATAAGTAATCATGAATTTCACTTTTCCATAACTAGTTATATATTCCGGTAAAATTTTCGTGCAGTATGATATTCTTGTTAACCGAAAGATTGTAAATATGGACTAATCCTTCCACTCAGATAAAGCTTGCATATGACAATGGCCAAGTCTCTTATCATCATTGCTTTGTGTTTGATGTACCTGGGAGAGGCGAGCTCATTTAAAGATATGGCTCTAATACTTTAGCAAATTGATATTAGTTGGAGATTTTCTTTTCAATATTATTTGCAATAGTCGGTCACATATGCAGTACGAGTTCTGGTATACTACACTTTAACGTTTTGTCTGAAGTTTCGGCGGTAAATGAAAATTCCCTATCTTTATCCTGTGCGGACTATATAAGAAAGACTTTTAGATCACAGCAGCCAGTATATTCACTACAGAACAAAGCAGCCAAAAGCCTGGTAAACATACGATACAAAATAATGGTGAACAAAAATTTTTATTTGTTCTCTCGTTTTTGTTTTTTTTCTTCTTTGATAATCATGTTCTAGATTATTCTCTGGATATACATACGCGGATATTTTTAAAGTTTTCTATAGGACATCAGGGTACCTGAATATCACACTTTCTTCTTACGAAATGTCCCAAAATATTAACGTAACTATTTAGACTTAAAATAAGACCCAAAACTCGAGCGCTTTCGAATAGTTGATTATTGTTCTTCTGAAGAAAAATAGTCAACTACTCGAAAGCGCTGGAGTTTTGGGTCTTATTTTATGTTTATTATACTTCATATGTGATCCTTTGTGCTAACTCTTTCAACAAAAAACCTAAGTATTTGAACTTTCTTCCTTTATAATCAGATAGAAGCAACCATTTTATTTCAAACTGAATTTTCATTATCTAATTTCCAATATCCCATTTCGATGTGCTACCCTACTAATGATTCTCCCGATGGGTCAGAGATACGTTTACGTATTTATCGATACTAAAATCGGGGTTTGAAGTGTCAGAAACCCACTATGTAGCTCTGCACTAAAAAACTCAAACAATTATACTGACGAGAAATTAACCATATAGAACTCAAGTATATTTTATTAAATTGATATATTGGTTTCCAGAAAAGTAGATAATTACAGTAGAGTTTGTTTGCAATAATCATTATAAATATATTCACACGGAGTAAGATGCAGATAAACAAAAGTTCTCATTTTATTTTCACAGAAAGCAACAAGCAAATTATTATTTTACACAGTAATCATACTCCTGTATCTTACACTTGTCTTTCATTCTTATATGTGGCGTCATCTACCGACTATTTTGTAAGTTCGATATTTCTTCAAAGCGGATGAGTTTGGTTGATAAAACAAAATAGAAATCTTCCAAAGTTACAAGTCACTTACATTTAATCTACTAGTATCCATCTAATTGGAGAAAAAATGAGTTAATTATTATTAAAATAAAAAAATTAATTTTATAAATTTGAAAAACACACATTTAAATCTTTCATACAAGATGTATTTCTACAGGTCACATAAAACAAAAAAAAACCTCCCCCTTTTTTTTAATCTAACAAAAGAATTAGTAAACAAAGTTTTTCTCCTAAGATGACAATATACAAATCTCAAATTATTGTCTGGCGTTTTAATCATAATAAAAAATCACATCCTATTTACTTCTAAAAATAAACGACTGTATAACCCCAAATTAAGTTTTTTTAATAAACACTCATGGTTTCGCTATACCTCTGCTTATCCGTGGATATACCAAAACTGCCAGAAGATGGCAGCACTTTAGTTATATAGGATTTTAATATATCTATCTTCTCCTCTACGGTGGCAAAAAATCCTCTCACCTTGTGATTTTTATCAACAATAACAGTGACGATTTTTAAAGAAGCATAACCTCATAGAGGAGCCTACAACCCCAAGCAGTTACTGAAGAAAGGGATATTTGTATTATCCAATGCCTTGGAAAGTACTTTACCATCAGTACTACGAATACCTGAATGACCGCCCACAATAAAAAATATCTGCAATAAGAAGATAACATATCACCAAAGCTAAAGCATTTCTGCCCACCCCTTCCAATGACCAACAACTACTCATCTCCTTCTCTTCCCCCATTCAACATCAGTTTCCATTATTTTTCATAAACTAAACTCCAAAATCTTGACTACCTACCCTTTCCTTGATGGATGGAGGTGGATATTCACCAGGGGGATCAACTAGCCCAAAAATTCCAAATTTTTCTTTACTCATTATTTTATCTATCACAAGATTAAGTACTACCAATTACTTACACTTCAACCATTAGAAACTATGAAATTATGCAATTAATAGCCCCTCTGCTCCAGCTAAGGATTTTTTGTTTGAAGTTAAGCACAAAGCAAAACAATGGGCTATCTAAGTTCTGAAACCCGAATTCTAGTGTTGTAAGTCTGCAGACATACCCTGTGCCACTGGGAGCTCCAGCTAATGATATATCATCCATCAGCTAAACAGATAACACCCCAACCTTTCAGAGCCTTGAAAAGATCCTCCAATCCATTGTAAAACATACATCTTTCTTCATTCGCTTTTCCTTGTCTTCTGCCATACCACACAAAAGAAACTCACAACCCTCGATTCAACATGCTCTCATGGGCAAATGAAGATAGACACCTATCCCTGAACATCCTTGGGGAAAAAAACCCCAAAACTGACCACATTTTTTCATCCCTTAGCGACACTCTTGTACTTAGTTCAATATCATTACTGCAAGATTAAAATTAAATTATCTTTCTCTATAAGCCCATTGAACAGAAACACATAGAATGTGGTCTTAACTTTCTAATATTTAAACCACTCTTCTAGTCTCATACTCTGGTAAATACTTTTGTTGCTACATAGCTTACTCTAATGATAAGAGAATAATGATGAGTAAATAAGATAATCCCCCCCCTCTTTTTTGCAGTTATAACAAAACATTTTACATTCTGTAAATATTCCTCCTCAATGTATAGGGCAAGACAATCAGTAACACAAAGTATTCCTCCTCAATGTACAGGGCAAGACAATCAGTAACACATTATAACACATAAAGTATTCCTCCTCAATGTATAGGGCAAGACAATCAGTAACACATTATAACACATAAAGTTTGGGGAGAAGTTGAAAAGCCGAATATTTTAGGTTTAAGAACAGTTTAATATTAGCAAGTACAAGACTCGTGATAAAAAAAAAAGTATTAGCAAACACTACAACACCACACTCAACAACAAGAACTTGCATGTATTAATGAAAACACTGTACAAAAGTCAGTTTGTTTTGCATAATTGATCATACATTAAGCTTAAACCAGAGACAAAATTCAGAGATAATTTTTTTTTTTTACAGGAATTAGATTTTTAATAGGAATAACAATACATTATCATATACATTTCTCATATTAATTATAAACTAATTTATAACAAAATAATTTTGTTCCTCTGGAGGAAAGAATAAGAACTAGATACAGTATCTGTATATTAATCTATGCCAAAAAAGAAAAAAAGGTTGTATCCAGACTACAAAAGTAAATACACAAAAAATTTAGATACATTTTTGTAAAAATAAACCTTAATTAAAGACATTTTTTTAAATAGTACTTACAAAGTTTTGACACACAACTTTGTTTAAATTAAAATTACCAGCAAATACTGCTAAGAAAATATCAACAAAAATCTATAACCATATGAACAATGTACTGTTTTAATTAAATACATTATCAGATTCACCAACGTATCAAAATGTGGCTGTCCTACGATCACTAACAACACCCAGAATCAGAATTATGACCACAAGAATCAACTTGGAGACAAAATGACACTTGGGGTACATCAGTGCTACCACTAGGTATAGCACTATTTCAACGAGCAAACTTTATAAAATATAAATACGTGGAACAGAAGACCAGTCAATCATTAGAAGTCACTCATAAATGTAAAGGAACAATACAGATTCTACTTCACTAACCCAATTTAGTTTGTCTGCAAATCACATTTGCATGGTAGTTTAAGAACACAAAGTATGCTACACTGACATTACTAGGTTCAAACTCCTACCAATATTTAAATTTATCTAACAAGTTCCATAAACTTTGAAATGTGATTACAGAATTACCTTAACATTTCTAATACATACTGACGAACAAAATTCACAGTTCAAAAAGGAAGTCAGGTTAGATGTTTATTGTGTTTTTCAACACACACACAAAAAAAACAAACAAGAAACATCACTTAATACCAGTTCAATTCATTCAGTTCACTGAAATTTAAAATGTATACCTTTTTTTTTTTCTATCTCAAAAGTATCTCTACAGAACTTTGCCTCTTAACATAAAAGATTTTGTTAAAACTTGTTTATATGAAATTAACTGTTCCAGCTCACTTTACTGAACAGTTACAAATCCACCAATATATGTATATTTTAATGTGGTTATTTAAAACAAATGAAAATAATTGTGTAATTTCTTCAAACATAGATATTTATTACTTCAACAAATATGTGTGAAATCCATTAACTTTGAAAATAATGTTTAAAAACAAAATCATTTAAGTTAATTTAAACAGTCAAAAAAAGGCTCCCCTTAATTTTACATTTTATGGATCCACACATAACATTTCAGTTATCATTTCTGAATGTGTTTTTTTTATCTGACACAGTACGAGTTTCTCATAAGAAGAGGTTACTACTTATCATTCCTTGTGGTGAAGCACTTTACGGATTTTAAACACTGTCTGCTAGCTCCAGCAGAAACGAGTAGTCTGAAATTACAGTAATTTTTATACTGACAAGAAAACTCGAAACTTTTCTTCTTCGCATAGCCTGAGGTTTATTCTTTATGATACTGTTTACCTTTAATTGTTGCTACATTTATGATTGAGTGGGTGACCACAGCTCGTGCCCCAGATTGAGCGGTTATGAAAACCATCTTTCCCAAAATGTTCGACACGAGAAGCTGGTGAAGTGTTAGCAATCTTTTCTTGTATCGAAGCCAGTTCAATCTCTGAATTTACATACAAGAGTCTTAATGAAGGCACTTGCGAAACCAAATGAACCAGTCCCGTTTCACCAACCTCAGTGTGGATAACACAGAGTGTGTGGAGACACAAGAGGGAACTTCTTCTCACTTTCAAAATGGGACTGTCATCTAGCTTTAAATGTCCTAAAAAAAGCTCTTCCAGTGACTGTCCTTGCTGCAGAATTTGAGAAACACCAACATTATTCACTTCTGTACTTTCTATGTTCAGAACCTGAATCTGCCCTAAGATTGGTTGAAGATGGTTGATTCCACCACTATTTATACGATAGTTTCCCTCAATGTTGAGTACACGTAGAGCTTGGCATCTTGCAATGATATCGAGGTCATGACTAGTTAACAAAATACAAAAGGAAAGGTCCAAACAAACAAGGTTTGGAAAAAATGGACTAGAAAGAAAACTATCAGGCATAAAGTGTGATGCTTTCAGACTTAAATGCTGAAGATGTTGTGGAAAATCTTTACTGGTTACTTTGGATTTTGGCAAATAGACTTCTTCTAATGTCAGTCTGTGAAGATGAGGGCAACGACGTGCAAGAGCTAGCAAAAAAGCCTGAGTGGTGGTCTCACTTTTTCCTCCTGGCTTACCCTGTTTCTGCCGAGCAAGAAAGCCTCGAAGACGCAAGTCAAAGAGGACTGAGGTCCCGTGATGACGAAGCAACTTCCAGGCTTGGTTTACAGTTAAAGAAGTGTCTCTTACATCTATTTTTCTCCGAAGACTGTCATCCTTGGCTATCCTGTTCCAAGTCTTACAAACTCTATAAAAACAACAGAGTAAGATTATTACATATAGTCACAGAGAATGAAAGCTTGAACTTATTATTACATGTGTTATATCACAATTAACAAAAATGGAGTAACAAGGTCAAACTATACAAGTTTAAACTTATCTCTCTTCTGTGAAATTTGAGGGCACTGGGGTATTTGAGAGATTCCCTAACAATACTGTTCTGCCCAATTATACTGTCTTTTAAGCCAAGTCCTCATTTATTTTCAAAATGTTATACAAGAAAATAGCTCACATGTATTCATACAAAAAAGTAGTAAAGGCAACATCTACTTCCTGAAATTGGCATTAAGTCTCAGGAGTTGCTGGCTGTGAGGAGGATGCTGATGCTTTACACAAAAATTTGGATCATTTGCCATGTTTGGCCAACAAAAGCCAGGTGGCTTTTAATTATAACAAATGCAATGTAATGCATGTGGGATGTCATAATTTGAATTATAAGTATAACTGTGATGGGAATAATCTTAACAGTGTTACGGTCAAAAAGGATCTTGGAGTTTTGGTTGATCAGTCTCTTAGGCCATCCAAACAATGTACTGTTGCTAGTGGTAGAGTAAGTAGGACTTTAGGTTGTATCTACAGAAATATTGAATACAAGTCTAAAGAGGTTATAATTTTATTGTATAGGACACTGGTTAGGCCATATTTAGAGTACCATTTAATCTTGGGCTCCATAAGAACATTTAATTGTTGGAAAAAATTTGTAGGAGGACCTGGGATGGAAAAGTTGTCATATGAAGACATGTTAAGATCTCAGAAATTCTGTCATGGAAAAGGATAAGTTAGAAGGGATCTGATTGGGGCATTTAAAATTGTTACTGGAATTGATATGTTGATGCATCATCTTGTTTCATATTTAACGGTAAGAATGATATGACTAGGGTATGCAAATATAAATTTTGGCAGTGTAGGAGTTATCTTCAGCTAAGACAGTTTTATTTATTTTTTATAAAAGAGTGATTAGCTTTCAGAATATGTTACCTTCAGATGAGGTGGATGCAGTAAATTTAAGGAAATGCTTCAAAAATATTTAAATGATAAGGATTGATTTTGAATTATTTTTTACCACTTAGTTTAGTGTTGTCCTTAAATGTTCTATCATTAGGCTTCACTTCATCATTTGTAGTAAAACAGCTGATTTTACCAGTAGAACAAAACTATCATGCCTTTTTATTTCAATTCAATTAACTATTTATACATATATCAACATTTCTTAATAAATCTAATGCTTAACATTACTAATGAAAGCGTTTTATATTTCATAGACACCTATAAATTATAATTCCACAGATCAGTACCCTCTCACCATTGAATCTCAGAATCCATTCCACAAGCTACAACACTGATTAAATGACCTGATAAATGGCTTTAATTTGATTATTTATTAGAATTACATAAGAAACAATAACTTGAAGAAATGTTAATCCTGCAGAAGAATTGAACCAACAACTGCATACTCAATCGAGGACAAGTTAAAAGCATAATACGTTCATATACATGAATAATACCAACAATAATAATTACCTAGCAGCACTGCAGAGTTCTTTGAAACTTAAAAAACGAAAAATCTTTAGCAAAATACAGTCTGGAAGGCTGAGTCCACACAAAATTGCTACTGAGGCTAGTTCGTAACCTGATGCATTTTTATCCAGTTTTCTCCTCTTCCCCATGTGTAGGTATAATTGCAGTGATTGTTCAACACTACACGTACAATAACCTTACTCAAGTTACTGTCTACTGCTCTAATAGTAGTACTAGTGCTAACTTTTTAAATTTCAGTAGAAAAATTTGAAAGACTGAACGTTAACTTCTTAAGCCTAGCGTTATTTGCACTTGAACAAGTAGTACTACGAACTACAGTTTGATTATTAAGTGAATAAGTGAAAGTTGCGAAATATTGCCGACTCACGCCTGAACGAAACAAAAATTAAACCTTATATATAGATAGGTCTACCTAGATCTATTCGTATTAACGCTATCAAAAATTTCCCAGTCCACGCAATCCTTCCTATTGCTCCTTAATATCTTTTTAAAAAGCCTGACTATAGTCTGGAGAGTAGTCGAATTTCGAACTAAAATGTGCCCGAAGCTAAAAAGGTAACCCGTGTCTGAGAGTATGCCAATACATAGGTTAAGTTTGCTTTAAAATTTTTAATAGCCGCGTTCACTTGTGACGATGTTGATATATTAAATTAGATTTTTACTGTATGAAACTAAAATGTCGATAAATTTACATATTTTTTCAAATAATATATATTTTATACTAAACTTTTCAACTGTTTGAACAAATATGTCATCACCTAAGTTAATAGAATAACGATTACAGTAACACAACGTACTTAAAAATAAAAGTTAAATGCAGCAGAGCCTATTGATTTCGATCATTCGCTCAAAAAAAACGATAAAAAACTAACAGTAGTAATACAAAATTCATATTTATGACCTAAGCATATCACTTTAAACTGTAACGCCATAGCGATAACAGACACTGATTCCTAAATACATTAGGCTTGCTCAGGTATTTTTCGTAATCTAAGGGTTACTCATCTCTCGACGAAATGGCTTACTGAAATTTGGACTTTTATCAAAACCCGGATGATCGAGCATAGAGGGAGGAGAAGATAGGGAAGTAAGGTAAAAATACCGGTAAATGATTTTTCAACACTTGAAATATATTCATTGTGATGGAATTCCGTGTATTATTTATAACCAACAGTTGATGGACTTACTTTATGTATAGAATATAATTTTTGTTGCTTTTTTAATTAAAATTAAACTCTGGCTGCAAATATTAATATCTTACACTTTCTCCATTATATTCATATTATACCAGAGTGTATAGGAAAGGAAACAGCCAAATTATGTAAAAAAACAAACAAAAACAAATTTACATAATGAAAGAATTTCTGTCTTAAGAAAAAAACTTTAATATTGTGCAAACGAGATTACAAACTGTACTTTAGGTTCTGAACTTATAACTATATATATATATAATCATAAAAAAAATCCAAAATAATGATTTAAACATACCAAGTCGCCATATTGGATAACTACCAAACAGTCCTAAATTCAAATGTTCATTCCAATTTTGTGAGAAAGGCCACATTTTAAGTTTAATTTCGGTAAATGTAAAATATGATTTTTGCGGTGCTTTGGCTTAAGATTAGCTTGAATGATGGTATTATTGAAGTTACAGGTAATATGGCCTTCTGTGGCACAGCGGTAAGTCTGCAGTCCTATAACGCTAGAAACTTGGTTTCGATGCCCGTTGTGGGCACAACACAGGTAGCCCATGGTATAGCTTTGCACTTAACTACAAATAAACAGGTGATATGATATAAACGATGTATAAACACCGTCGAAATAAATTTTCGTTATATTTTAATATTTAATTAGATTCCTTTTTAGTGACATACCAGACAAAATTAAGTATGTTTGTTTTTTAATAAACACAAAGCTACACAACGGGCTACCTATGTTCTGCCCACCACGCGTATCGAAACCAGGTTTTTAGCGTTGTAACATACCGCTGTGCCACTAGGAGGACAATTAAGTATGAAACACAAATGTTTACAATAATATAATAAAGACGATATGGTTAAAACCTGCCAAACGTTTAGACAGTTTAATGTCTTTCCCCCTTGGCTCCTTTAACCCGTCATTTATATTATTAAATTAGCATCAACATCGGGACCGTAAAATTTCAAGGAGTAATAATCACAGATTGATTATCAGTATAGAAGAAAGTAGTAATTATAGAGACGTTTAATTCAGTAGTTCTGTTGTATTAAATACCATAAAGTGTCAAGTTTACTCTAAGAAAGTTAGAATTCAGCGAGATCCGTGCATAGAGCCAGGAAGGAACAGTACAGTACTTTATATTTAATGAACAATGAATTGGATTATGAATCTATTATAATTTAGTAATTATTAGATTTACTTCTTTTCTTCTTGAGCTTTTATTTTTTTTTGGAATCCAAGGTTTCATGTTTTGAAATCTATTAATGTAGAAAACACGCTCCGCATTTTAGGTCCGTGGATGCGTTATATGAGTGACGGTTAAATCCCACTATTCGGTAAAACAAGCGAGCGAAAAAAGTTGGTGGTTGTGTTGTTGACTAATTACCTTTTGTCTAGCCTATCAGTTCAAAATTTCCCACCACTGGCACAGCGGTATGTCTGCGGAATTACAACGTTAGAAACCGGGTTTCAATACCCATGGTGGGCAGAGCACAGATAGCCCATTGTGTAGCTTTGTGCTTAATTACAAACAAACAGTTCAAAATTATGGATGTCAATGTGCAGACAGTGTTACGCTGATTTAAAAAACAACAACAAAAAACACATACTTGGTGCAACGCATCAGTTTTTCCTCAAAATAATTTGATAATTCTAATGTTATTATTTTGTTTTACTCCATAGCCTACAAACGAAGAGGGGCATAATATAAATGAAGTGAAATCAATTGTCAGTTTTATCCTACATGTTCAACCTCTATAGGGTTAAGAACTTACGCACAATCATTTGTAGCTTATTTAATGGTTAATTTTTGAAATCAGTACGTTAGGCTTAACATTATATTCTGTTTGCCGTTTTATAATAAAACATTTTGAACAACATTGTTACAACGAGTCTTAGATCATTTGTTAGACAGCATCTGATAACAGGGTAACTTTTCCCTATGAAGACTCAATTTCTCGGGCAACAAAAATACCCGAATAACGTTTCATTAAAATTTTAGCAACTTCCTACTAACAGCTGAGCCTAAGTGTTTACCTCCTTATTAACGGTTGACAAGGGATAAAATTAATATCGTTGCTTGTATGGTGCTTCCATCTCCAAAATGATCGGTGTTATCTCGTAGAATGTATCAGACTGATATTAAGTCATGTGTGTCTCTTTCTACAGAACGGGATACTGTGTATGCAGTTTAGTGTTGTATATTGTTGGGTGTGTGCCAAGATGTAGAGCCAGTCAATATTAGAGCAAGAAATACAACCACAAAGAAAGGACATCCTCTCCCAGAACACTGAACTGTCCTCTATAAGAAGAGCATAGTCCATTTGTCATCATAACAGGCTTTTCAGGTGAGGGAACTTTTGGCGAATTATGCAGACGTCTTTTCGAAAGGAGATCATGACCTAGGCTGCACAGACCTTGTAGAGCACAGAATAAACACAGGCAATCACCGTCCAATAAAGATCCCTGCGAGGAGAATAGCTCCAGCAAAGCGACAAGAGATGGAGAAGGTCACGGATGGCCTAATTAAGGAAGGGATAGTCGAGAAATCAGATAGTCCCTAGTCAGCTCCTGTTGTGTTAGTCCAGAAGAAGGATGGGACCCAACGTTGCTGTGTGGACTTCAGGGCTCTTAACAGTATAACTGAAAAGGATTCATACCCACTGCCAAAAACTGATGATACTCTTGATGCTCTAAGTGAAGCCAGGTGGTTTTCAACTCTGTACTTTATTTGCCGGGCTTATATATTAACATAGAGGGCATCTGGAAAACACTCGAGCCTTCATGATCCTTCTAGAAACTCATCACGTGTTACCAGCATCACTTGACTTCTTCAACAGTGACTTTTTCAGGTGACACGTCTTCAGCAGCATCATTTGTTCTGTTGTTCACTTCGTTCCAACTGAAATGTCCTGGACCATGATAATGCCAAAGCCTGTTGGCATGCACCACCTTTGGCTTACCTCGCCGACCACATTTTATTCGGAAAGACACGCCTGAGAGACGATCCACTATGTCATATGGGCCTTCCCATGGAGAAGACAACTTAGGAGACTTCCCTTTGGTCTTCATGGGATTATACAACCACACCTTGTCTCCTGGTACAGAGCTGACTTCAGTAGATCTCTTATTATAACATAGCTTCATGGAATCAGCAGAAGTTTTCAAGTTTGAATGCACTTGATAATAAATATCATCCATCCTGACACATTTTCAGGCAATTCCTTAAGGTGGGCGTCCTGTTATCAGATCCACTGGCAACCGAAGTTCCC